AGCTTCCTGCAGCTCCTTTGCTGTTTGTGTTTGCGGGGACAGAAGCTAAAGCCAGATTAATAAGCGGGTTAAAACCAGGGCTTTGATGCCTGGCTCGCTCTGCCGTCGCTGTGGTAGGTCCCAGGCACCGCTCCAGGATGTTTTACTTCAAAGCAGTCCAGCGCGTGTGGCAACGATAAAACACGAGTTTTGTTTAAATCCAGCCCTGGAAAGCAGCAGGGAAGAGGCGTGCTAGGCGATTTTGCTCTTGTTCCTGCCAGGGCAGGAGGGGCCCCGCAGGGTGCCTTGCTGGGTGCTGCTGCCTGCAGTTGAGGCTCAGCGGCTCTGGGGACGGGCCCTGCTGCTGAGGTCTCTGGGGGCTCAGCACCTAAAAGCAGCATGTGTGTGCCCGAGGCGCAGGCTCAACTCCTCCCTTCTTTTTTAAAAATCTTTTTGCATCGTGTCATGGTGCCATTCGAGCTCTTCACCTCGCCTCTGAGAAAGCAGTGGGGTTAGCTCGCAGGTTGCCGCAGCATAAGAAATCCCCTGCAGAGGTGTAGGTGCAGCTGTTACATGAGCAGCTCCGGTCATGGCACACTGCTGGGGACTTTCCACTTTCAAACCCAACTCCAAGATGTGTCACTGCATCATGCATCAGTGGTTCCCTACAGTTCACCTCGCTGCAGTTTCCTGGCCAGCTTTCAGCCATGCATTGCCCACGTGCTATCTGCCCGTCCTTGGGTCGGCCTCAGCTGTGATGAAGCGCTTCCTTGAAGGTGGCTTTACTCTGACCCTCCCTGCAGCCTCTCTGCAGCCCTGGTCACGCCTGGGAAAACCGTCTGGTCAGCGGGTGCTGGAGCGAGGAGCCATCTCCAGCTGTCTCTGGGCTCTGTTCAGGTCCTGGCCCCAGCCTGTGCCCTGCAGTGGGGACAAATGGGGGGAAACAAAGACCACAGAATGTCTTCCCTTGAGTGGATAGAGAAGCCATTGGAGTTGCCTGCACCCAAAAAAGTGCACTCCAACCTGTCTCGGGCCAGAGTAAAGCCAGCTCAGGGCCAAGGAGCTCATAAACTTCTTCCTGATATGTTCCCACTGCGTTTTAAGCCCAGTCCCTAAGGGCAGCGGCAGAGGGGATCCAGCCCCTTCTCTCCGCTACCTCTCCTGGTCCTTGTACCTGTGCTAAATGGCGTGGGCAATCCCCACCTCGGTCCCAGGGTCTCTGCCTCTGCGGGGGGCTGGTCCCCCCCGGGACGGATGGACAGAGAGGCAGACAGACACACGCACTGCTGCAAAGCAGCTCAGCAGAAAGGTACCTCAAATAGCTGAAAACCAACACAGCTTTTATCTGAGGGAGAGACCACCACCTCGAACTGCCTTTCCATTAGATTCTCATTCCGTTTAAAAGAGAAACTGAAGCTAAATAATTAACCAGTGTTGTCAGACTAGTTCATGGGGCGTAGATAGAAGAAACGACTGTACCTGAGATATCCCTAACACCCTTTTTTCCTTTTCTTGGGCTGAATGTGATTGATCTGTCCCCATTTCCTCCGAATTAACCCAGCAGCAGCACCTGCTAACAAGCGTGGATCAGGCGTGCTGCCCCGGCTGTGAGGCACGGGGACACGGTGTCGGCGGCTCCACTGGTGGGGCTGGAGTGGACTATCCCTTCCTTACACCCACACTGCATTAGAAGCAATTTTAGATCAGCAGCTTCCCCAAGTCTTGAGGAAATGTAGGAAAAAAGATTCCTCAGGCAAAAAGCAAAATCCAGGAAGGAGCTCTGCTCGGGGCGAGGGCTGACGCGGCCGCAGGGCTGCGTTGTGGGTCGTGCTATGGTCTGATGTGGGTGTGGGCTGCTGGCTGTAGGGAGAGCATCGTAGAAAATCTGCCAAGAAATCTGCTTTCCAATAATGGCATGGTAATATGAGCAAGCTAAGAGCACTTCAGGTGTAAGTACCCTCCAAACACCGTTTGCTCCTTGCCAGAGCAGCCGAACTGCGGCCTTTTCACGTCAGAAGTGTTTTCAATGCGCAGGTTAAAGGAGCATCTCAAAGCACTCCCTGGCGAAGACGAGATGGTTTCATTGCCGTACAAGGTGAGGGCGATCGGCCAGATCGAGTGCCTCGCCCTCACGGTGGGAGCGATCCCCGTGGAGTGCGCTGCCCTCGTCGTAGGTGAGTGTTGTGGGATCCCCTGGTCCCCGGGTACGGGCTGGGGCTCTGCTCCCTCTTACCCCAGCGGGAAAAATGAAGCTTCAGAAACACATTAAAATTAAAATAGAAATACTGCTTTTCTGCAGCAAAAGTCCCTGTTTGGCCCTTCAG